AACATCGGGAATGCCGGGGAGAAACTGCAGAGAATTTCCTGTCCCATTGGCAACCTTTCCCCAGACTGCCTCCGCATAGGCTCCATCCTTCTCTACACCCTGAACTCCACTTTGCCAGGACCAGGGCTGTGGTTCCATGTAAAAGTGTCCAGGTGTCCCTCAGCCTAACCAGCTGCAGGACAGGCAGGCGGCCCTGCCATCGTGGGGATGGGTCAGGTAGGGCACTGAGCAGCTGGGGTTCATCTCCAGGTCCTCCTGCCCCTGTTTACCGTCTGGCCTCCAGTGGTTTGTTCTTCTCCCATCGTAGATCTTGGTGTAGCAGTCAGGGTGTGAGCTCTCTAGACTGTGAGGCACACCTCATGTTCGCTCCTAGTGCCTGTAGGGACCACACGTTTGGGTGTCGAGAACTGGCGGGTTTGGTTCATAGCAGTTTGCATCTTACAGCTTGAGTTTGTGCGTTTACTCGGTGATCAGGGTCTGAGAACTATGAGAGCTGCCCCCACGGTGCCTCTGCATCCTCCTCAGTGAAGAACTGAGTGATTGTCTCCTGTCCCACAACCCTGGCGGTGGTGGCAGTGGGCAGGTGATGTGACAGCGCCCCTGTCTTTTTGATAATCCCTTAGATGGGCAGCGGCATTCGGTATCCAACTCCTTAGCCTGGAGTTGTTCCTCTGAGCCATTCTTTGGTCTTTGCCGTGTGTGTGTGTGTGTGTGTGTGTGTGTGTGTGTGTGTGTGTGTGTGTGTGTGTGTGTTGCATTTGCATGCTAAGAAGGGGGAGGCTGAGGACAGCGTGTTCTGGTTTTTTGGTGACACTGAGCTGGGCCACCTGAGCAGGAGTGTGCAGGCTGCAGCTCTACCCTGGTGTGGATTCTTGTAAGGAAAAGGAAGCCGCCGCACAGGGGTTGAGACGGTGGGTGTGGGGCACGGGGATAAGATGTGTGTCCTTGGGTGAGTGATGCTGAGTAAGACGTGTATGATTCACTACTCCTCTAGAGAGGACTAAATCATCACTTAGAGCTGGAAAAAGCTTCCGGACAAGATCTCCCAGCAGCAAAGTGTTCCTTCCCTCAGGGACTGGTCCAGGTCCCCAGCTCTTCCCGGTTCACACCCTGCCTGGGGTCCCGTCCTTAACCTGTAAGTGAAGGCTCCCAGCAGCATCTCCAGCACTTTGGGGTCAGAGACTTGCTTTGGCTTTGCAGTTTGGCCTGCTGGGGACGCCCATCCACCTGCAGTGTCCTAAACTGAGGGTCACCAGGCACCTTATAGATGTGGCTCAAGCTTTTTTTTTTTTTACATCTAGGATGTAAAGCTGCTTTTGAAAATGCCTTGTTCACCACCCATGGCAGCCACCCACAACCCTGCCTGGTGGGATGGGTGGATATTTGAAAGAAAGCGATGCCCTGAGACCTCCTCTTGTATGTGGTTTTGACCCAGGATGGGGTCCTCTCACTGGGGTTTGGTACTCGGTGGCGGCCAGCTGTTTTCCCTCCTGGTTGCTAACACCCCCGTTGCTTGTTGCAACCCTGCAGTAAAGCCGTGGGAGTTGCGTGACTGTGGAACCTTCAGCTGCCCTGCCTCCCCTGAATGGACTCCTTTCATCGGGGATGCTGGGGCAAGGGCCTTTTAAAGCCAAAATATCAGAAAAAAGACAAGGGCCACGAGAGCCACTTGCTCTTTGGGAGGGACCATCATCCGAGGACAGATTCCACTGCTGCCCTGGAAAGCCCCACTGTGTCCTGCTGGGCTGGCCCGTGCCTTGTGGACGGCCGGGTCTCTTCAGGCACCGTCTGCTTCAGCAGGATCGCTACGGATGTGAATGCCGCTGCCATGGAACTTGTTCATCTCTCTGACTTCTGTGTCTTCCTTCAGCCAACCCAGTACCTGTGCCGTTCAGAGGTGTCCAGCCTGCATTAGTACGTAAGCCACGGATGGCAGGCACCCTGTGTGTGTGAGAGCCGGGGCTTGGGGACTGAAGGAGGTGTTTGTCTTCCCTGCAGTGTTCTGAGGGTAGCAGGCAGTGTCTGAGAACTGGCTTGTGCTGCGGAGATAAAACCCTGGAGCAGGGCTGTTGAGACTTCCTAGGGTAGTGGAGGAGGGTGCTGCTTGTCTGTCTCAGACTTTCTGTAACTCCTAGGACTCTTAAAGTCTCGTGTAAGGAGGAGGATTCGTTTTGTGACTATCTGGGATGGATGGTTGGTGGATTGTCATGCACCTGGGTACCCAGAGAAAGGTGCGTACTGCTACTGACGTGGATGTCTGGGAGGGTTCCGATGGGGAGTACTGGGTCACAGTTCACAGGGTCACAGTTCACAGGGTCTTGACCTTCTTGATATCGGGAGCTCAGCATAGAAAACCAGGCGCAGACTGTCCGTTTCGGGCAGAGTTCTTTAGCCACCTGTGGACACCAGAGATTGTGTGTCAGCAGTAGCCCAGGACACAGCTTAGGAGCCAGGCCATGGGTAGCTTCGTCTCTGTGGTCTCCCATCCTCCCCACAGCATCTTGGACTCAGCCTGAGGCTCATCTTGGCCGCCAGTGTTCTGCTATTTCCTGTATATTTCCAGGACCTCTAGAGCTGTGGGGCTCCCCGAAGCATCTAGGCTGGCTGTTGACAGTAACTGAGGTGGTTCTAGGGCCCTAAGGGACCCCATGGGTGGAGGGGGAGGCCCCTTCTTATCAGACAGAGGAACAACTGACTGCAGAGCAGGTCACAGGGTGAGCGGAGCCTGCTCTTTGTCATTGTTCCTTTTTTTCCAAAGGAAATACAAGGGAAACCAAGGGGAATTTTTGCTCTTGGTTTCCAAGGCAAAGGTCACACTGTTCATGGCTGGCTGTTTCCAGCAGGCTCTGGTTTCTGGTCAATCCAAGTTGGGTTTGTTTTTTTGTTTTGGTTTGGTTTTTTTTTCAAATTAGTGAACAAAAGGAGTTGGTGTTGCCTTGAAAATTAACTCTGTAGTTGCTTTGATCAACTGATGGTTGTTTTAAGTTTCCTGGGCTCGAGACTCTTAGAGATCTGGGGGGGGGGGGTGGTATAGTGGATCAGAATGGCTCCTGAAAGTTTAGACGTAAAAATGAGTAGGAAAGGGTTGGGGAGGGGATTCTACAGCCAGATAGGGGACAGCGCCTCTTACCTGCAGGGTGTCTACTGAGAGCCAGTGCCTCTCTTCCTGGAAGGGACTGAAACCGCAGAGATTCCTGTCTGTTTATAATCCTGGCTTCTTCAGTGGAGGTGTGTGATAGCTGTGTGTGCAAAGATATGAAGATGATCCCTCCTGTGTGAGTCTGTGACACGTGGTGTCACAGGGCCCGTTGCCAGCGTTCAAAGGTCGGTGTTTGACATGGCCGAGCTTAGCTCATTCATAATTCATAGTTGAACAGACTCTTTTTACCATGAGTTGGGTTTTTTTTCAACTTCTTTTATGACTTACTTCTTTTTTTAATTGTATGTGCATTGGTGTTTTGCTTGCGTGTATGTCTGTTGGAAGGGTGTCAGATCCCCTAGAACTGGAGTTAGAGGCAGTGGAGAGCTGTGGGTACTGGGAATTGAACCCTGGTCCTCTGGAAGCACACACAGCCTGTGCTCTTAACTACTGAGCCATCTCTTCAGCCTCGTACCATGAGAACTCAGTAAGAAAAAGTTCTTTTTTTTTTTTTTTTTTTTTTTTTTTTTTTTTTTATTATGACTCCACTGTCATAGAAGCCGCTGCTTGCATGCAAGTCCTTAGCACTTAGAATGCCATGCTGGTTTTAGCTTGCTTTGAGGTTGAGTCTAGATAGCCAGACTGGCTTGAATTCACAGTCCTGGCTTTTGAGGGCTGAGATGCAGGCCATGTAGCCACTCCCAACTTCCTCTGCAGGGTCCTTTAATTCTAGAGGACAACGTTTAGCCACTAACATTGGGTATCAGAGATGTGCGTTTTCATATTGTGCCATATTGTAGATAATACCTTCATTTCCCCAGGGATTCTTAAATTCAGGGTTTTGTTTTTGTTTTTTCGTTTTTGCTTTGTTTGTTTTTCAAGACAGGGACTCTCTGTGTAGCCTTGGCTGTCCTGGAACTCATTTTGCAGACCAGGCTGACCTCAAACTCACAGAGTTCATCCTGCCTCTGCCTATGCTGGGACTAAAGGTGTGCATCACCACCACTCACCTGAAGACTTTTTTATAATTTTCTCTGTGTGTGTGTGTGTGTGTGTGTGTGTGGTCTTTTGTCTGCATTAGTGATTGCACCATGTGCATGCTGTGCCCTCAGAGGCCAGAAGAAGGTGTGGGGTCCCCTGGAGCTGGAGTTACAGCAACCTCCATGTGGTTGCTGGAAACTGAGCCCAGGGCTCTTAACCACTGAACCATCTCTTCATTCCCTGAGAGAAGAAAATTGTTAGCCAAATTGTTAAGTGAAAAATTGCAAGAATGTGTTTTGTTGTTTTGTTCCTTCTTTGCCCTTTTGTGCATCCTAGCCTTATCACACGGGGCATGGGAAGGGATGTCCAAGGGCGTTTGTGTGTGTGAGAGAGAGACGGAGGTGTGTGTGTGGGGGGGGTGTCGATAGGGATTAATCCTGGGGTCATTTGTCTGTCAGTCAAATGCTCTACCATGCGGTGTTCCTAAGGACACAGATAACCTGGGAGATGTCATCTGTGTGTCCCCTGGGGGGGGGGGCTGCACCAGGAAATTAGTGGCTGGGCTGAAAGTTGTGGGGAGCCATCGGGCGGGGAGAGGAGTGTCAGAAGCAGAGGCCAACAGTGCAGCTTCAGAGTGAGCCGTGGGCTGTCACCTTCTGCTGCGGTGGGGTCTCCGTGTTACACCAAAGGCCTTGTCGCTTTCTATAGGGTTTGCTGTGCGCCTGAAGCGGCATTTGCTCCTGGGAACAGTGGTGGCAGCAGCCGTGCGGTTTCATGCCGTCGCATGTCCTAGCATGCCCTATGTGCTCCGTCTGCAGCATGTCTTGCCTGTGTGTCTCGAGAAATCACTCTAACCGGGCTCTGGTTTTGTTCTCCCCAGCTTGAGCGAGAGTTTTTTCATGGTGAAAGGAGCAGCCCTCTTCCTACAGCAGGGGAACAGCCCTCAGGGCCAGCGCAGCCTTCAGCACCCTCACAAGCATGCAGGTACGGGAGTCTTGAGGCTCTTAAAGTCGGGACCCTTTCTCTGCCGCGGGAGAACCTTCCACAGTTGGAGGGCCCACATCTGTACTCCCAGGACAAGGAAGCTGAGGCTGGAAAGTCGTAACTTCGGGGGCAGCCTGAGGCAAGACCCTGCTTCGAAAAAAAGCGAAACAAACATCAAGAAGAAAATTGTCTATAGAGGCATTATTGGGGAGATGGCACAGTTGGTAAAGCCCTTGCTTCAAGAGTAGGACCTGAGTTCAGATCCCAGGATCCCCATGTAGAAAAGGCCAGGTGTGATGGCTGTAGATTCGGGTGGGGCCTGAGGCCTCAGTGGCCAGCGAGAGGTCCTGTCGCATACAAAAGGCGAAAACTCCTGGTGAGCCAAGATTGTCCTCTGGCTTCCACGGACACACACACACACACACACACACACACACACACACACACACACACACCGTGTACCAGCCTTCCCAGTAGGTGGCACATGTGAGCTTTTGTGACTGTCACTTCAGTGACTTACAGTGCAATAAAGCTACAAGCAGCCACCTTTCTGTGTCTGGTGCTGTCTGTAACATACACAGCAATTCAAAGCTCAGGCTTGGCTTTCCCCTGTGAAACGCGTCCCTACCATGAGTGAGCTGGGTCAACAAGTACGAAGCCACTTTGTGTCAGACCTGAAAAGCTCATCTATGTGTCCCGTGGATGCACACAGGCAGGAAGATTGTCACTGGCTGGTTGGGTCTTCTGTCCTTGAAGCCCAGGACCTGTGGTGGGCATGGGAAGACTGGCTGGCTTCCCTCCTCCCTTTTCCTGTTGGATCCCTCACCACAGCGCAGAGTAATGAGAGGGTTAAGTCTGTGGGGTGGGGTCAGGCTCAGCCAGCCAGTGGGTGTAGGGTCTTGTGCTCCAGGCTTCCTCTCTCTGATCTGTGTGTGGATGTGAAGCTGGGATATCAGCAGTTTATTTATGTGTCAAATGCCTTTCTCCTTTGGACGGTTATCAGACATGGGGGTGGGGTTACTTTCATCTCTGTGATTTGGGCTGGATGGTGGGAGGGCCCAGGCAGACAAAGAACCAGCCCTTGGTGGTTGTGTATCTCCATGGCCTTGGGTCCCTAGTAGGCTCTTAAAGAGAAATCGGAGCAGGAAACTCCCATTGCGAGCTGCTATCTCCAGGGCAGCCCTGGCAGGAGGGAGGCTGTGTTCACACTTGAGTCCCGTTACTGGCAGGATCAGATAGGACACACTGTGGCTTTTTCTGCCTACGTCTTGCCAACCTTATTTATTGTGGGAAGAACAGTTAACTCGAGCTGTGTCCTTCCGACCAGAGAGAGGCAGGTTCCTAAAAGCCTTGTTTCCTCTGAGAGAGAGGAAATACCTTTTAGATGTCACACGTCCATGCCTTAAAAGGACAACATGCTTTTGCAGCAGGCACAGTGGCTGTGGCTTTCTGGGGCATTCGCTTACGTAAGCAGCGTTGTCCTTCAGGGTTCCCAGCGCGGAGAGAATGTTTCAGTCTTGCTGCGTCACTCTGGGCATGGGACCCAGGGCTGTGCACATACCAGACAAGTGCCATACCATGGAGCTGTACCCTCAGCCCCTATAGTGTAATTAAAACAAAACTAAAAACATCATTGGGCTCCTTCGGCGCTCTGCACACAATCGGAAAGGGTGACTCTCCTGAGTTATTTCTCAACCCTTCATCTGGGCGAGCATCTTCACAGATGAACCTTTCCTCAGAGGGCATGCGTGCCTCAGGGCATGGACGGGCAGGGCAGGGACCCCACATCTACTTCAGCAGCACTGTACCCTGGCCACGCCCTACTGTCCATCCTCCAGTGAGTTTGCTGCCTGGCCCTGCACACTCTCCAGACCCCAACCCAGGGGGACTTCCCAGAGAACTTCCCATCCAGACTGGATTATGTAGACTCTGTATCCAGAAAAGGGAGCTCAGTGGTTAGGGGTGAGCATTGCTTTTGCAGAGGACCGAAGTTCGGTTTTCAGCATCCTTATCGGGCGGCTCACAGCCGTCCGTAACTGTAGTTCCAGAAGATCCGATGTTCTCTTCTGGACTCTGCAGGCAACTGCATGTAGACATACACATACCCCATCACCACCACACATACACATAAAAGTCTTTCAAAAATGGACTGCAGGGGTGGAAGAGGAAATATGGGCTGGAGAGATGGCTGAGCACTTAAGAGCACTGACGCCTCTTCCCAAGGACCTGGGTTCAATTCCTAGCACCCAGTTGTGGTGGCTCACAACTGTCTGTAACTCCACTTCCAGTGACCCAACACGCTCACACAGACATGCATGAAGGCAAAACACCAGTGCACACAAAATTACACAAAAGCTACTTTGTCGGGCTGAAGAGATGGCTCAGAGGTTAAAAGCCCTGGCTGCGCTTCCAGAGGACCCATGTTCAATTCTCAGCCCCCACGTGGCAGCCCACAACTGTCTGTAACTCCAGTTCCAGGGGATACAACACCCTCCCACCAATGCATATAAAATAAAAATTTTATAGATATAGATATATAGATATAGATAGTTAGGCTATGGTGGTGCACACCTTTAATGCCTTTAATCCCAGCATTCGGGAGGCAGAGGCAGGCAGATCTCTGTGGGTTCAAGGCCAGCCTGGTCTACAAAGCTACACAGAGAAACCCTGTCTCTAAAAAAGAAAGTACCCCTGAGCACTGTCACCCTGGCCCTTGGGATCAACCTTGCCTTAAGCCTCTCCTTGCTGGCCCCACAGGTGACCTGCCCCAGCACCTCCAAGTAATGATCAACCTTCTGCGCTGTGAAGACAGAATCAAGCTGGTGAGAGCTCAGGGTGGGCACTAGAGCCCTCCTCTACCATGATTCCCTTCTCTCACAATGCTGACCAGAGCCGGGGCGCTCAGCGGGGGTGGCTTCGCTGGGATGCATGACACCCTCGGTTCTGTGCCTAGCACCCCAGAGGGGCCAGTAGAGATGTCAGGTCTCCGTGACATCTGTCCTACATGTGGGTGTGGCGTGTACATTTCACCCGTGTGCCCGGTACACAGCTGGCTGTCCCTGTGCCAGGCACACGCTCTCTCTGGTCCTGCTATCAAGCACTTAGTTTCCATTTCTTCCCCGATTTGTGGGTGGGGGTCAAGAACCGAAAGCCCTTGGTCTTGATTTGGTGGATGGGGCAGACATTGAGGTGACACCCCCCTCCACAGGCTGTACGCCTAGAGAGCGTCTGGACCGACCGCGTCCGCTACATGGTCGTGGTATACACCAGCGGGCGCCAGGACACCGAGGAGAACATTTTGCTGGGAGTTGACTTTTCCAGTAAGGAGAGGTGAGTCTCAGGGTGGCATTTCCCGTCAGAGCAGGAGATGGGTCACTGTTGGGAAAAGGCTTTCCTGGAGTCCTGGGCTGAGCCCCTCTGGAGGATGGGGGTCCACCAAGGCTCTGGGAGTAGGGCCTGCTTTTCCAGTGCACACTGCCCAGAGCGGCAGGACGGGGGCATGGGACTGGTCTCTGATACTCTACCAAAGTACCCGGCAGTTTGTAGAAGAAAGGTGTTTATTCGGCCTGCTGTTTCAGCCTCTCTTTGGCCCTGAGGATGTCAGGCAGGAGGCCGGCTGCAGCGGGAGCCAGGCTGAGGCAGCTTTCATCCCTTGTGAGGGTGAAAACCGGTGCCACCCTCCTCCAGGTCTCAGCTCCTAAGTGTCCCACTTCCTCGGTGCCGCAGATTTGGGGACCCGGTTTCGTAAAGATCTGGGGGAGTCCTCAAACTTGTAAAGGCATCCCACACAGGGATGCTTCCTGGGGGTGTGACAGTGAGCATCAGAGGACAAGCCGGGTGGGGTGGGGATCTTCCGTGGATTGACGCGTCCTTGTGTGAAAGAGGTTTGCAGTCCTGGGGAGGGGGGGACTGGAGGCCAAGGAAATTCCATTGTGACCGACCCTATTGTGGCATGAAACGATGCGTGTGTGGGAGGTCGTTGCAAACGCTAGATCCTGCTCACTGATGAGTGGATGGGGCTCTGTCCTACCCTGTGTGGGAGGCACAGGCCAGGCCCCGGGTCACCCGAGATGCCACAGCACACATTGCGCTTAGCACCGAAAGACCATGCCACCGCCAGGAAGTCGAGAGGATTAGCGATGACATAGTGCCTGGCTCCTGTCAGAGCACAAGCAGGTGACTGGTGCCAAGATGGGATTTAAGTTCCAGGAGGCAGCATGTGTGGTGAGGCCCGGTGTGTGGGACGGCAGGTGGACCTGAGCTGTGGTTTGGGCCCCGGAGGTCACATGACCGCAGTTGGGGTTTGTGTGACTAAGCAGCTGTGTCATAGGCTGGTGACCAGGCTGCCCTCCTTTTGCATGAGAATGAAAACAAAGGGTATGAAGTCACTTTGTGACTTCCCTCCCCTGCCTCCTGGCACCCTGAGCAAGTTTGCTGCCGCACAAGGAAGGGAGGAGCCGGCCTGTGGCTTTGTGTGCTGGGGGAGGTCTGGACGAACAGCCAGTGTGTTGTTCATTGGTAGAGCATCTCAGAAGAGCTGCTGCACGCACGCAGTGTGGGGGCTGTAGGGTGCTGTGGGGTGTCGGCCAGAAGGTGCTCACAGGAGTGGGCGCCTGTGTGTGTGCACCTGTGTGTATGTGTGTGTGTGCCTGTGTGTATGTGACTGTGCTGTATGTGTGTGTCTGTCTATGTGTGTGCCTCTGTGTATGTATGTGTATGTGTGTGCACACCTGTGTGTGCCTGTGACTGTGTGTATGTCTGCCTGTGTGTATGTGTCTATGTGTGCCTGTGTGTGTCTGTCTGTGTCTGCCTGTCTCTGTGTGTGTGTGTCTGTCTGTGTGTGTGTGTGTGTGTGTGTGTGTGTGTGTGTGTGTGTGTGTAAAACTCATGATCCCCCTGCTTCAGCTTTTCAGGCTAGAGCATTAGTGTTTGGCAGTGTCAAAGTTAGTTTTCCGATGATGGCCCAGCCCTGTAGGAATCTTCTGGGACAGGAACTTTTCTCACTACATAGAGATCATTCTGGTAACCTATTCCGTTCCTGAACAGGGGCCTGTCTCCTGTAGCCTGTACCCCCATGTAGTAGTAGTTTCCTCTCAGACTGCCAGCCTGCTAGTAATGACACGGAGACTTACTAATATGAAAGCTCCGCCTTAGCTTAGACCCTTCCCACTAGCTCTTATAAATTAACCTGTTTGTAATAATCTGCATCCTGCCCATCCTGCTCCATGTTGCCTCCCATCTCTGCCATGCCTAGAATCCTCTCTCTCTCTCTCTCTCTTTCTCTCTCTCTCTCTCTCTCTCTCTCTCTTTCTCTCTGCCTAGACGTTCTGCCTATACCTCCTGCCTAGCTATTGGCTGTTGAGGTTTTTATTACACCAGTGATAGCAATTCGCCTTCACACAGCACACAAATATCCCACAAAACCCCCATTTTGACCCTTGCTGCGGAAGCCTCACAGGAGCCCTGGTCACCTCTGTCTGTGTAGCAGAGCAGAGGATGTTGCTGCCACCTGGTTCATCCCGTGCACCCCATGGGTAATGGCCTGGTCCTCACTGTACGTCAGAGGCTCAGAGAAGCTGAGTGGATGCAGCAGGGGCCACTCAGGATGTAGCGGGGAGGACTCAGGGGATGCACATGACAGACCTAAGTATGACTTCACCAAGATCCAGTTTGCTGAGGCCAGTGAGTTTCCTGGGCTTTCTCACAGAGCACTGGTGAGGGGGTTCGACCCCCAAACACTACGTTACTACAGAGTCCCCCCTCATGATGGATGCTGACCTCCTGGCGACTGCGTCATGTAGGCGGCTTTTAGTCAGCCATTGGCTGGCTTCCTTGCACAGTCTGGCATCTCCCGAGGTCATAAGGGGAGTTGGGGGAGGGGTGACAGCTAGAATACCGGTGCCATCTGCTGGCCCTACCAGGCAGTTAGTTCTCTTTACCGACGTCCCGGCTGCCCCTGCATGCCCCTGCACTGCACTGTTCTGGTCGCCGTGGCACAGGGGCAAGGTCCAAGAACGGCATCTTTGTGATCCAAGGAGACGGCGCTGGACCACACTGTGTCTTCCCTGATGTTTGCCATTCCCCTGTGCATTCCTTGCTTGCTCACTCATTTGGGGACCTGTGTGTGCACTTGTTAGCCCTTGCCATGTGCTGGGGTGCAGCCCTGTCACGGGAGATGTGGCCTCTGCAGTTGCAGCCCAAGGCATGCTCGTATGCACCCAGCTTCCTGCCTGCAGCTGCAGTCTGTGGCCTCACGCCCTCACGCCCGCCCATTCTGATGCGCCCTGCCTTTCCTTGCTACCTCTTGGCAGTCTTGCTTTGGTTCTTAAGGGACCCTCTCTCCCTGTGGTCATCTGACCTCTGCTGTATGTTCAGTGCCTTTCTGTCTAGGCCCTGAGCTAGAGATACAGCCTGGCTGCAGGGTCAACCCCAGGGAAGTTGTAGATCTCTGCAGATCTGGAGAGATGGCTCGGTGGTTAAGAGCTCTGGTTGCTCTCCCAGAGGTCCTGAGTTCAATTCCCGGCACCCACATGGCTGCTCACAACTGCCTCATAACTGTAGTCCCTCGAGATCTGGTGCCCTCTACTGGCGTGCAGGCGAAACACTTGTTCACAGAAGATGGTAAAAATAGAAAGAGGCTGGTGAGAAACTGAAGCCTTTTCTGCCATGGGGGATACGTAACAGGATACATGTTCTCTGTCACCGGACATGTGTCCTCACGTGTCCTCACGGAGGGGGCGTGTCAGGACAGGACTGGCCTTCTCAACTGCTTCGATAGGTCCTGGGTACCATTCTATAGGTCCTAGGACATTAGGAGTCCTAATGTCCCTGGGCCTCCCCAGCAGCCACCGCCCTGCCAGTGTGAAGGTTTCCCTCTTTCCCTGGATTCTCGCCATGCGAGTCTGTTTTCCTGGAGTTCAGTAAGCGTTGCCTCCTGATAGTGTTCTCATGGGTTCCCTGCGAGGACTGTGTTACAAAGGCAGTGTTGGAGCCCTGGTGGCCGCAGGCGCCTCCTTAGACCTTCTCGGGGCTGGCCTGGGGTTAACTTGTTTGCAGTATGCCGCCCTCCACCCATCATCTTTTCCCCGAATTTGGAAAGATCTTCCAAAGCCGCTCCCCTCTCGAGCCTGTGTCTCCTGGCGGGCCCAGCTTCAGCTGGCTTCTTCGTCCTTAACCCGAGGGGACCTGCCACCTGCGCCCTTCTCCCAGTCGCTCCCACGAGCGCCCTCCTTCAGCGCCATGTGTCACTGGTGAAGATGCAGTTTCCCTAACGCAGCCCCGCCCCACTTCCTGTGTGCCACCCCAGAGCTGCCTTTCGCGGTCCAACTTCACGGAGTGCGTGGGAGTGCCGGAGAGTCACAGCAGTGGCGACCGTGGAGACGCTCTTGAATTCGTGGGACTGTTGCCGTAAATGTCACGGCCACGTAGTGCGCTGGGCCCTAGTCCTCCAGGGACACCTGTCCTTTGCTGTGCCGGAAACCCACTTTCTCCCACGTTGCTGTGTCTGAAGGAGGCCAGTTGATGGAACGGCCTCGGGTAGACAGTTTCAGCTTCCCCTGGGAGGTTCCAGACCTGCCAACACATCCCAGGGCGCGTACCCAAGCCTTCTGGGGCATCATGGCCTTGGCACAGCCCAGCATTGTTCAGAGCCCTGTGGGGCTCAGCACACGCCTCATATTGCAGCCCCCCAAAGGCGACAGAGGGAACCCTTTACAGATGGGTAGGACGGACTGCAAGAGGGAAAAATGGGAATTTACCAACCCAGATGCTGAGTCCAGTTTAACCCGAAGCCTTAAAACTTCTTCCCCACAGATACCGAAAGGCAGGATGGCGCAAGGTAGCTCTGGAGAGGGAATCAGCCCCCTGAACCCCAAGCTCCTGTCACCAGGCACAGGAGGGGGTAACATTCCACCCTTCATCCCCCCCCCCACTCTCCCTCACCACTACCCCTGCTCCCAGAGCCCTAAGTCATGTAGAAATAGACGCTTGGAATTCCTGAGCGCCGAGGCTGCCCTGGCACAGTTGCCGCTGTTTCTCAAAAGCCAGCTCTTCAAATGCCTGAAGGGTTTGCATACAATCTGAGAGCCCCTCTGATAAACCTTCCTCTCTGTCTGCCATTGGCGCCAGTCTCTGAAGTTGGTGAGGATCATTTCACTGCTAGGATGGGCAAAGCAGGACCGGATTGAGCTAGTTTGTAAAGTGGCTGCAACACAAAAGTTAGGACACAGAACCCTGAACAGTGGAGGTGCGGGCCCTCCCATCTCCTGTCTCCTGTTACCTGGGACGGAAGCTGGAGGGGCTGTCACTACTTGCCCGTGCACTGCAGCTGGATGTGACACTCTACCCTCCGCCCCATCAGGTGCTTGCCCCAGGACACTGAGGGCCTCTGTAGTTGTGGAGTTACAGCCACAGGACCACGGTTTAGATCCTTTGTAAGTCCCACTAGCAGGGACCCTCCAGTCCTATGTCTTCTAGAATGCAGGTGTGAATGGACACAGCCCGGGAGCCCTCTGCCATACAGATGCCACAGTTGGTGCCAGTCCGGGTTGTCGTAGCCAGGAGCTGCTAGGCAGAGGCTAAGGGAAGACCGACCACGTGTACGCAGGCAGACACTGACTCCGACATCTTCTCTTTCTGTTGTAGCAAAAGCTGCACCATCGGGATGGTCCTTCGGCTGTGGAGCGACACCAAGATCCACCTTGACGGGGATGGGTATGGAGACATCTGAAAGATCCTTTCTTGGGGCTGGAGAGATGGCTCAGGGGCTCGGAGTGCCAGCTGCTCTTGCAGAGGACCTGGGTGTGGTTCCCAGCGCCAGTGTGGTGGCTCACGGCCACCCGTAACTTCAGTTCTAGTTCCACAGACTCCCCCTTTTGGCCTCTGTGTGCAACAGGCATGCACTTGATACACAGACATACGTGTGTGCAAACACACATAGACACACATTTTGCCTGTGCACTGAAGGACAGACAGAGCCCATACAATAAGAGAAACACATATTCACAGCGTACAGAAGGACCTCCCCCCCCCCCCCCACACACACACATCAACTCATCGACTCTGGGTGTCCTTTAGGGATTTAGCGCAGGAAATACCACTGCAGGGGGGGTGTCTCACAGCAAGTCTTGCTCTGTTGTTGGATAAGTCACTCTGGGCCCTCCCTCCCAGGGCGGTGACCCAGGAGCACACGGGTGAGCCAGTCACCACAGGGTAACTCACATTTGGGGTGACAGGTGCCGTTCTGGGGGCTGTGGAGGAAGCATTGCCACCTCAGCCTGGGCAGGTTGGGGGCTGCAGAGCTGTCCATGGTGCCTGCACTTAAGCCCGGGGAAGTAATGCGATGGGAAGTTGCTCTCGCAGTAGGGTTCTGGGGTGGCCTCGCAGGGAGAGCAGAGGGAAAGATAAAAAGGTCTGCTCAGTGGAAGTACTGGGATATTTTTTTTTTAACTTATTTTTACGTAAAAGAAAGAGGTGAGTGTGTGTTTGTGACAGGTGAGGGTACCCTGCTCACACTCGGCTTGGGGACACGCCCTGGTCAGTAGTTTTCTCTGCTTTTGCCTCTGTGTAATGTGGCAGACATCTCTGCCGTCCCTAGTCAGACAGCAGAAGGCATGCTGGTCCCCAGTCTGGGGTGGGGCTGCACCCAGAGTCTGGAAGTGACTTGACTGAAAGCTTGGATTCTCAGGATGTCTGTCTTTCCTGTTTCCCTCTCTCAGCGGCTTCAGTGTGAGCACAGCAGGCAGAATGCACATCTTCAAGCCCGTGTCTGTGCAGGCCATGTGGTGAGTGTCTCGGGGGGGACAGTGAACTCCTTAGAAGTATTTTCTACCTAATAGCACAGATTTAAAAAAATCACCTCTGCGTGTGTGTGTGTGCGTGTGCGTGTGCGTGTGCGTGTGCGTGTGCGTGTGTGTGTTATGCCCGAGGATTTTTGCATGAGCAGCACAAGTTTTGCATTTGACTGTTGACACTGAGCATTTTTTCCCATGCAGTCCATACTTTCATGTCTTTGCTGGGAACTGTTCTATTTAAATTCTTTACCCAGTTACAAAATGTATTAGCGTTGAAGATGAACCTTTACCTGTTGACCTGGCATAAATTCACTTATTCCTTCTACCTGGCACTCAGTAGGTGCTGTGTTTGTGCAGGGTTGGGCCAGGCACTCTGCTCCACTGGAGTGGTGAGTGGCAAGGGGGTCATAGTACAAACCTGAGTCCCTCCCAGAGTTTAAAGCGTATTGAAGGGAGGTGGTTTCGCACATGTGAACGGACTTGTACGTCATGCCAAGACAGCTGGCGGTGTTCTCAGGTGGTCAGGCCTCATTGCTAGCAGTAAGGCCTGGATCCAGGGAAGGGGAGGGCTTCCTCGACCCTCTGTGGTGACTGAGGATGGCGATGTCCACAGCTTCCTGAGCCAGCCTCCTCGTATAACTCTGTCTCAGCTGTGTCCGGCCTGGGCTCCCGGGGCCACATACTCACTGTGGGTGTGGCTCAGCAGGTTTGTAGCCGACAGTGCCGTACTGCAGTGTCAAAGTTGGACATTCCTGTGAGCGAAACGTTTGTGTAAAAGTGCATCAGGGCAGTCGGAATAAACGAGGGAAAACTTGGAGCTCAACGGGCATCGGATAAGCATTTCCAAATGACTCCTCTTGTCCAGGGCGGGGAGAGTCCCCGAGAGCTCTCTCCCGGGTCACATCTGGGTCTGTGTCCATCCCCTCCTCTGTTACGCTGCTCTGGCCCAGTTCATCTGAGGTGGGTGCGGTAACTGAGTCAGTGTCCCGAAGGGTGAACAAACCAGCAGGTGGCCCACAAATGTTTCTTGGGGTAACTGCTGCCTTTTTTCTCCCTAGCCAAGTTTATCATCACCATCATCATCTTGGCTTGGTTTTGCCCACTTTAAAAAAAAAAAAATCTTAAACCGAATTTAATAAACATTGGCTCAAGTTCATTCCTTCAACCAGCCTAGCCAGTAGGACAGGTAGAATTAGGGAGTGAGGCTACCTGCAGTGTCTGTGTCCCATCACGTAAACCCTCACCCTTCAGGGGTTTCTTCTGCCTTGGCCGACACCTCCTTCCCTTGACAGCCTGTTTGCTGAAGTTTTTCAGCCTGAATTCTTTTTTTCCCAAAGAAGTAAAAGAGGCTGATTAAATAAAACACACACATTTTTATACCCTAAGGCCCTAAGATGTTACACACTGAGGTGGTGTGGCGGGGGGGGGGGGGGGGATCTGCAGGTGGACTCGGGAGCCCTGCTATTCTTTGAAGACCTTTATCTCCCACCATTAGGCTCCTGGAATACAGCCCCACTGTACTCTGGGGATGCTGTGACTTCAGAAGCAGACCTGGCATCTTTGGAGTTGGTTGCTGGAATGTGACCCAGCCAGCTTGGAAGAGTTAGGGGCAGCGGGGTGGGGCCCGCTGCTGGTGTTTATTCCCTCCTTTGGAAGTGGAGAGGGATATGCTGTCCACTTGTGAGCCTGGTTGACCCAGCCTCTGGGACCTGACAGCCGTACCTGGCTGTCGTGTGTCCCTCACACCTTGTGGGCAGAAGGAGCCCTCTCCGAGCTCCTGTTCCACTACTGCAAGCTCCTGTTCCGCTACCGCGAAGTGAGTTGCAGAACCCAAGCCCCTGGCCCTGAGCGTCTGTCTCCTCCCCAGGTCTGCCCTGCAAGTGCTTCACAAGGCCTGTGAGGTGGCCCGGAGGCATAACTACTTTCCTGGGGGCGTGGCGCTCATCTGGGCCACCTACTATGAGAGCTGCATCGGCTCTGAGCAGAGCTGCATTAATGAGTGGAACGCCATGCAGGACCTGGAGTCCACGAGGCCGGACTCCCCAGCGCTGTTTGTGGACAAGTATGTGCAGGGGCTGCCTCCCCACACTGCTCAACACCAGGTCCCCTCAGGGCCACACTGGGCCCCTCGGGGTCACACTGGGCATCTCAGGGCCACACTGGGCATCTCGGGGCCACACTGGGCATCTCGGGGTCACACTGGTCATCTCGGGGTCATACTGGGCCCTCAGGGTCACACTGGGCCCCTCGGGGGTCACACTGGGCCCCTCGGGGGTCACACTGGGAATCTCAGGGTCACACTGGGAATCTCAGGGCCACACTGGGCATCTCGGGGTCACACTGGGCATCTCAGGGTCACACTGGGCCCCTCAGGGCCACACTGGGCATCTCAGGGTCACACTGGGCATCTCGGGGTCACACTGGGCATCTCAGGGTCATACTGGGCCCTCAGGGTCACACTGGGCCCCTCGGGGGTCACACTGGGCCCCTCGGGGCCACACTGGGCATCTCGGGGTCACACTGGGCATCTCAGGGCCACACTGGGTCCCCAGGGTCACACTGGGCATCTCAGGTCACACTGGGCATCTCAGGTCACACTGGGCCCTCAGGGTCATACTGGGCCTCTTGGGGCCACACTGGGCATCTCAGGGTCACACTGGGCCTCTTGGGGTCACACTGGGCATCTCAGGGTCACACTGGGCCTCTTGGGGTCACACTGGGCATCTCAGGGCCACACTGGGCATCTCGGGGTCACACTGGGCATCTCCGGGTCACACTGGGCCCCTCTGGGTCACACTGGGCATCTCGGGGTCACACTGGGCATCTCGGGGTCACACTGGGCCCTCAGGGTCATACTGGGCCTCTTGGGGCCACACTGGGCATCTCAGGGTCACACTGGGCCTCTTGGGGTCACACTGGGCATCTCAGGGTCACACTGGGCATCTCAGGGTCACACTGGGCCTCTTGGGGTCACACTGGGCATCTCAGGGCCACACTGGGCATCTCGGGGTCACACTGGGCCCCTCTGGGTCACACTGGGCCCCTCGGGGTCACACTGGGCATCTCGGGGTCACACTGGGCCCCTCGGGGTCACACTGGGCCCCTCGGGGTCACACTGGGTCCCTCGGGGTCACACTGGGCATCTCAGGGCCATACTTCCCTGCAGCCCCTTGACTGACATCCCCTTCCTGAGTACAACTTTTAGCCTGAGTCAGTGGTTCTAACCAGTGGTTCTCAGCATTCTCTCTGAGGCCTCTTTCTCACAGTTCTGCAGCTTCCCATACATTTTCTTCCTAGGCCAACCGAGGGGGAGAGAACCGAGCGTCTCATTAAAGCCAAGCTCCGCAGCATCATGATGAGCCAGGACCTCGAAAATGTGACTTCTAAGGAAGTAAGAGCCCCCTCCAGTCGTCCCCCAACCCACCCATAGCAGGCCCGAGCCCAGTCCACATTTGTCTTCTCGGTTCCCAGCAGAAGCGGGCCTCGCACCCTCTGGCTTTCCCGTGCATCCGTTTGTCCACCCTGGGAGGCTCCCCTGCGCTTTGTCCTGAGGTGGCACTAAGGCTGTGGAGGGCCCAGGCTTAGACTTAGGCAGTAGTTTGACTCTGGAGACCATGAGCTGTTACTGGCCCTCTCCGAGCCCTAGGGACAGTTGTAGAAGGTTCCCCCGGGAAGCTTAGCCTTCTGTGCCCTCTCTGGCTTTTGTGTCCCCTCAGCCTTGTGCCATACAGGAGATTCCAACGAATCTCAGGCCGTTCCCTCTGCCGTGGTCGGCTTTTTGTTTTGTCCATTGCTTTGGGGTGGGGTGGGGGCGCTGTGGGAATTGGAAAAATGGCTGGCTCCTTGGTTAAGAGCATTAGCTGTTACAGACCATCTGAGTTCCATTCCCACAAGATAGCTCAGGACCGGCTGTAACACCATCACCAGGAGAGCTGACGCCCTCTGCTGGCCTCTTTAATTGATTAGTACTTAAAAAAAAAAAAAACCATGCTGTGATACCTTCTCCAACGGGAAAGTGACTTTACCTTCTCATTGCATTTGTTACCTAATTGTGAAAGTGTAAGTGTTTTAAACTCAGTAGACAAGATCTTGGGGGTTGGGGATCAGATTTCCTTGTTGAAAACAGTGGGTTTCCTCCGGTTGGGTTAAGTTGGAGGTGAGTGAATGCCTGCAGCCCGCACAGATGTGCTGCCTGTCCAAACGATTACCCTGGGCAAACAGAAGAGGACAAACTCGCCCCTTTTGTAAACGGTTAGCACCACACAGAGGTGGGCGGCTCCTCCAGCTGATCAACCCGAGTAGGCTCCACCCCAGCATCACAGATGCTCTGTCCCGCCCACAGATCCGCAACGAGCTAGAGAAGCAAATGAACTGCAATCTGAAAGAATTCAAGGAGTTCATCGATAACGAGATGTTGCTCATCTTGGGACAGATGGACAAGCCCTCCCTTATCTTCGACCATCTTTATCTTGTAAGAGCCACGCCCCTCTCCCCTTCTCCATAATGGAATCTGCCTTACGTGCTTACAAAGCCCACAGCTGTGGGCTCTTCCCCTCTGAGCCCTGCTCCCAGAGCCCGCTGAAGGGTCTCCCACATCGTGTTACCCGTGCTGCCCGTGCGCCTCCGGCTCAGTGTCTTCCGGTCGTAAATCTCCACAGAAGGCAACTGGCCAGATTTCAAAGCCAGGCAGGTTACTAAAATTAGCCAGGGGACCATGAAGTCCAGTTGAAAGTCAGACCTAGCAAGGCTAAGGTCCCCTCTGCCACCTCACCTGCCTTATGGCCCATGGTGAGTCATCTTGGCACTGCACATCTCGGGGTGATTGAATAAGACAGGTCCTGGAGGAGACAAGTACAGCTTTTGAACATGAATGTAACTATGGTTAGAAGAGAAAAGGTCTGTTACCGGAGCTGAGGGAAGGTGGCATTGGCCACTGAGGGGGCAGCCACTTGCCTCTGTCAGTACATGAACACGCATACACATATGCATGTGTGGGCTTTTAGTGGGAACAGAGGGGTTTTGAGACAGGGGCTCACTCTAGCTCAGGCTAGCCCAGAATTTGTGATCTGCCGCCTCAGGCTCCTGAGCGTTGAATGTATATATTTTTACGTTCTTGTTTATATGGGAATCTGCCTGTGTGCAGACTCCCTGCCTTACCCATTGAGATGGGAATGTGTGGGTTTGGATAGCTTCGAAAGACAGGTACAGGGTGCGCTGGCAGCGTTACCAGAGCAATGGGGCGCCCTCCTCCACCTTCTCCACTAGGCGGTGGTCCTGGCCAGAGGGCTCCCAGCTTTCATGGAGCTGCCCGGGTTTGGGGAAGCTTGGTGCCTTGTGTCGTTCTTTCCATGAGAGATACCGAAGGAATTTCTATGGTGGAGGCTGTCCCTCAGATAGCAAAGCCCAGCTCACTGCAGGATGCCAACACGGTCAAAGCCCGGGGCCTCAGAGGACCTGAGACGTCAGGAGAGGGAGTCTGCAACCCGTGTGTTTTCCAGAACAGGGGTGCCTCTTCATGTTTCTCCTGTGTTCCTTGACTGATCGGGGATAGAGGAGTTTTTAATGATGAAGTTCGTGAAAGTATAACAGTGTCTAATCCTACATTGTCTAGACAGTTGGGATAGATAGAAACCATGCCAAATCTTTTAAGACTATTCCCAGTCTCCTACGCATTTTGATGTGTCACTTTTCTTTTTTTACATTTTTCAGTTTCTTGTAGCGTTAGGATTGGAACCCAGGCCCCAGCACTGGGTTTCCTCGAAACGGTGCCTACTCTGCTCAGTTCTGTAGATTCTGTGTTCCTCTTGGTTTATTCCAGTTTTCCTTACACCAACATGATGATTTATTTATTTCTGATCCTTTTTGTTTTTCAAAAGAGGGTTTCTCTGTTTAGTCCCAGATATCCTAGAACTCACTGTGTAGACCAGGCTGGCCTCGAACCCAGAGATCCACCTACCTCTGCCTCCCGCTTGCTGGGACTAAAGGCGTGCACCACCACAGCTTGGCTTGTTTTGTTTTGAGACAAGGTCTGACTCTATACCCCTGGCTGGCCTTCAATTTCAAATTCGTGGCAGGCCACCTGCCTCTGTCTCTTGGAACTGGGGTGGTTTCTTTCTGTGCCCATATAAGGCTGCTGTCATTCATCTTACAGGTTCCACCCTGGTAAACCTTTGGGTTCCTGTTGTTTTCCTGTGAATAACCCTAGATGCCCGTGTTCCTAGGTCTCTGTGTGAGCTCTGGTCATCCCCTCAGGATCAGAGGGTGGGGACTTTTTAAAATTAATGTCAGAAAAGAGATCGGGTCCCCGCTGTAGCTGTGCCCATGCTAAGAAGATTGGGGGACGTGAAGCGGGGGGGGGGGTCAGTGAGGGACTGCTTCCTCTTAGACTCCTGCCCCTCCTTTCTGCTCTGAGGCTAAGGCCCTACTCTCAGGGCCCCCGCGCATCTCACAAGCAGCTCTGTGACACTCACAGGGGTTTGTGTGGTCTGTCCCCCAGGGCTCCGAGTGGAATGCATCCAATCTGGAGGAACTGCAGGGCTCAGGGTGAGTCTGCTCCCCTCTCCGCCATCTCAGCCTGGTCTCTGCAGTGGCTGGAGGGTCGAGTGCGCTTCAGAAATGCTACCCAGCATTATCCGTGGGTTCTAGATTTTTCCTGGAGTCTTGGGTGACTGGGGCGGGTTGGGGGTGTGTGGAACGGTTTAATCATACTGGGGACTGGAGGACAGCCTGGCCCTGGGTAGGCTCTGAGTTCCCTCCCACAGCCTCCCTCCCCAGCAGAGCTGCCGAGAACCCTGGCATGGATGCACATCTCTGTTGGCTTTTTGGCCCGCTGGCAGCCCTGAAAACTTGGTGCCTGGTGGGAATCTTGTGACTCACTCAACACTCTCTGCCTGCCTCCGAGAAATGCTCACCAGCAGGAGTGACAGTCACAAAATCACCGTTCTGTGGTCTGACGCGCCTGCTGGCCTCCTGGAGATCACTGCAGTTGAAAACCCAGACTAAACAGAGCTTAAAATATATCCTTAGTACCCCCAGTCAGTCAGGGTGTGTTCCCCCAGCACATTGGTTGTCCAGTGAGAGGCTAGACTCCATGCTTCCATAAATTCCAATAAATATGTGATTCCGCCGTCATTTACGGGGAAACCTATTTGAGACATTTTTCCAATTACCAAAATTGTTTCAGTTCTCTAGAAGTGAATATGCTGGTTAAGGGTGAGGGGCTGTGGATTTGGTTTAGTAGACGCTCTCAAGCAGAATATGCCTAATAGAAGGACACACACAAAATAAGAGTGGAGGCTTTTTTACTTTACTTTTTAGGGGTTTTAGTGTGACTTTTTTTTTTTTTTAATAATACATTCTTGTCATGTGGAGGAAACACAAGAGAATGTCTGTTGAGCAAAAACAACAAAACTCTCACCAAAATTTTACCCTTTAGTGTGTGTATTAATTGATTTTTTTTCTCTGCCAGTTTTTTTTTATTTATTTATTTTTGTGTGTGTGTATGGTGTGTGTGTGTGTGTGTGAGTGTGTGTGTGTGTATGGTGTGTGTGTGTGTGGTGTGTGTGTATGGTGAGTGTGTGAGTGTGTGCGTGCGTGCGTGCGTGCGTGCGTGCGTGCGTGCGTGTGTGTGTGTGTGTGTGTGTGTGCGCTCCTCATTCTGATTCCCTAGGCTATCTTCTTCTTTCTTTTTCAGGGTTGACTACATTTTAAATGTCACTAGAGAAATAGACAATTTCTTCCCTGGCCTGTTTGCGTATCACAACATCCGAGTCTATGATGAAGAGACCACAGACCTTCTTGCCCACTGGAACGAAGCGTACCATTTTATAAACAAAGCGAAGTAAGTGCTCGGGAAGCTGGCCGTAGGAGGGACAGGTAGGCAGAAGTGAGTGGCAGGCTGGGTTTGGAAGTAGGCAGCCCTGCCCTTGGGGCAGGTGGTCGAGGATACAGGAGTCCAGTTCGAGGAGAGGCTTTGCTGTGCGGTGGACCTTTGGTTGTAGCTGAAGGAAACGAGGCTCCAAAGCGGGGAGGTGTTGGCCTTCTTCACTGGGTACCCTCCTGTTCTCTCCCACCTGCCCGTGATGGTGACATTGAGCCCAGTCTTCATCATTAACACTGGTTCCAGGCCAGCCTCAAATACCGGGTGCCACCCGGGAGCTCCCCGGGGTGTCCTGGAAAAGGCCAGTACTTGCTGCGTGTAGAACTCTTAGATTCTCCCCCCAAAGAGTACAGGCTGTAGTTCCACGTTCCTGTGTGCCTAGAACAGGACAGTCCCAAGATGGTGCCTCATGCCATCTCCACTGTCTGTGAGCCCCAGGCCCCTCCTTATTCTCCTTTAGAGCAGCTATTGTGTTGAAGTCCAAAGCAAAGACACACCACCCCCTAACACACACGCACGCGCGCACACACACACACACACAGAGGCACGCGCATACACACACACAGAGGCACGCACGCGCACGCTACAAGGTGTGTCCTTACCCAGCGATGCTTCTTTCCCAGGGCCCCTCACTTATAAATTTAGAAGTCAGGGAAGAACAGCCAGCCAGAGCCTGCTCATCCCCACCTTAGCTTCCCAGCTGCAGCCTCTGCCAGCCTCCATCAAGGAGAGGGTCACTGTCTCTTGTGTATCTCTTAAATCAGCTGTAACCTGGGCCAGCACTGCCTTCTTACAAGTAGCCAGATCGATTGGCCCCCACCTTCCCCCTGGCTTGGTTCCCCCTTGGCCAGATTGCTCCCTCCAGGCGCTTGCTCCCCAGGGTGCAGGGTTTGTGCCCAGCATTTGTGCCCGCCCCGGCTGACCCCATTTTCTACAGTAGCTCATTCACGGCCTCCATCTGCCCTAGCGGCTGAGTGAGTGGCTTTTGCAGAAATCCTTTAACTGCCCAGGCACTGCCCAGGAAGCGACTGTAGGCGGCGTCACTTACCCCAGCAACAGGGGAGACTGTTTTGAAGCAGGCCTGTGGGTTCATCTGATCTCCCATTGTGTGCTAATTGATTTCACAGCAAAGCTATTTCCTTTAGAGGGTGTGTGAGGTCTGTTCCATAAACATCAGGACCGAGAAGGGGTCGGAGCTGTGTGATAACTTTAGGGCTTTAAAAAAAAACAAAATCGGGTTAGTAAAATCCAAGTGGTAAATCAGGAAAGGCTCTTAATCCTTGCTCTTAATCCCCCTCCCACCCCGCAATCCATGTAGAAGGAATCATTCCAAGTGCCTGGTCCATTGCAAAATGGGAGTCAGCCGCTCAGCATCCACCGTCATAGCCTACGCGATGAAGGAATTTGGCTGGCCGCTGGAGAAGGCGTACAACTATGTGAAGCAGAAACGCAGCATCACACGGCCCAATGCCGGCTTTATGAGGCAGCTGTCCGAGTACGAAGGCATCCTGGATGCAAGGTGAGTGTGCACCTAGGGACAGGCTGGCAGACCAAGCTGGGTGGGCCAGCCTGGGCTTCCCTGGCACAGCTTCCACATCTGGAAGCCAGCCTCTCAGGGGAGCTGGCTTATAAAAAAACAGCTATTGTTTGGGCTGTGATTAGTGGTTTCCAGGAGGGATCCCTTTTGATTTTGTTGGCACTGGTAGAAAACCTGTCTTGCTGGGCGAGGGAAGGTGCCTAACTGCTCATCCAGGGCACGTCCTGGTATGTGGTGTAGGCGTGAGCATATCCATTTCCCAGGCACCTGCTTTGTGCCACACTCAGGCGCTGAGGGGGCCCGGCGGCCTTCCCCAAGCTCAGCCCCCTCTTCCGAGTTAAGGATCTGACACCCAGGTATCAGATGCTTGTGGTCCCTCAAAAAAAACCTAAAGGTAGAAACCACTGCATGATCCAAAAATTCCACTTTGCTTGTACACCCAGAAGCCTGCAAAGATGGGACTCATAGGGTTGTTTGTATCGGTGGTAGTGTTATTCACAGTAGCCCAAAGGCGAAGACCACCCACCAGTCCTTCGGCGGACGGGTGGATAAAAATAAGAATCTTCCTCTGCCTGCCGAAGGAAGACAGAGTGGGGTGAAGGAGCTCCTGGTTGCTGATTGTAGGCCAGGATGCTTGGGGAACTAAAGCTGGAAGACAGCCATGCTCCAGAAGTTCAAAGCTACCCCCTGCCATGTTAAGATCCCATCTGCATCCCTCCCCATAAAAAGGGAGGGAGGGGAGGAAGGAGGGGAAATTCTGGCATGTACACCCTGAACAAACTTCGGGGCCATCAGGAAAAATTGTGGCCCCATGTTTATATGAGGGCCCTAGAGATGGAGAATGTGGTGTTGGTGGCCAAAGGCTGGAGAGGGAGCAGTTCGAATCCGATGGCTGGTAGTGTTTGCTTATTGTATTCTGTGAACAGTTACAGAGACAGATCAAGGTGCGGTGTTGTGACCCTGTCCTGGTCACAGGTCCCATATATGTAAAAGTGGTCAAGACGGCACAGCTGACTGCAATTTTAAAATTGGCAGGGCTCTGTGAGGTTGCAGGAGCAGTCGCTACAGGTCCTTGGCAAGCTGGCTGCTAGTAAGCTAATAAATGTCGCTGCTGTACCTGTCTCCCACTCAGAATAGAGTTCGGCTCTCTCATTCTACAAGTGAGCAGAAGGGGCCAACACTGGAAGGTTAACTTGTCTCATGGCACACATTCGGCTTCTGGGTGCCAAGAGGGAGATTTACGCCCACATGTGTTGACTGCCACAGGAGAAAGCTCTTGTTACACGGCCCCTGTCAGGGCGGTGAGGGTGTCCCTGCACTCCCAGGCTGGGGTGGACGCCAGTATCGCCAGTATCTGGCGACTGACTTTCTCCCTGGTCCGTGTCCAGTGTGCAGAAGCAGCCACCTGGATTATTTCTGACTGGTGTTGGAAGGAATCCAAAGGCTGGGTCCTTCAGCTCCTTGGGCAGGTTTGGGGACGCAGGGACGAACGGCCTTGGAGAACCGATGCAGCCGGCCGTCTCTGGACTGTTTCACTCAGTGTGTCTGTCAGGCCCCTGGCAGCTGGAGGGAGAGGGGAGGAAGTAGGCACCCTGCTCTCCCTTAGCCTCTCAAGTCACTGGACCGCCTCAATCACTGGTCTGTCGAGGGATCGCCGGGCAGAGCTCTGGGTACCCGCAGTGTGGATTTCACTCCTAAGTCCTTGGGAGGTGGAGGTGGCCTTAGTGATTGCCTCTGCCACGCTAAAGCTTTTTCTCTTTTTTGTTCTTGGCTTATACCTTCACACGTGTTATAAAAACAATGCCAGTCCCCGTCCCTAAAGTAGCTTCTATTGACAGTTGGCAGCTTCTTGGGCAGGCCCCTACCCGTGTTCTTGTGGGTACCCTACAGCCATGAGTAATGGCGGCACAAACTGGGCCCAGAAGCCTCTTTTAAAAAGAGGACAGAAACTGGGCAGTGAAAGCTAAAATATATGACATGAAACTCTCAAGAATTTGAAAAAAAAGAAAGACCTTTTTTTTTTAATGTCATAAGGCTGTGTATGTAGCTCAGTGATAGATAGAATGCTTGCCTATCAGGCACAAGTCCATGGATTCTCTCTCCATATGAAAATAAAATAAAAATATCTGAAGAGTGCATTCAAGCCAGACATGTAATCCCAGCAAGTGGAAGGCGGAGGTGGAAGGAATCAGGAATTGGAGATAGCCTTGGCTACATAATAAGTTTGGAGCTAGCTTGAGCTATACAGACCTTGCTTCTAAAGAAAGAGGAAGTCATTAAAAACAGACCTGTCTGAAACAAGTACTAGGGAGTTCCCGTCGGTCACATTTGCCTCTCTGCACTAGTGTGCAGAGAGCTTGCCGCCCCACACCTTTGACCCCTGAGTTTTCTCAAACTGTTTATCTCATGGGTCACAAAAACTGAGTGACAGCCATCGACGTGAACTAGATTCACACAGTAAGACCAGCACAAACGCAAAGACGCAGACCTCCAGTCAAAACTCTCTGCGTCTGCCACGCTGTCACCACGTGGCAAACGGTCCCAAAGGGCTTCCCACGTAGGCTGTGGTGACTGAGGACGCCCTCGTCTCCGTCTCCATATGCCCTGGTGAGTGGACGGGGGGGGGGGGGCCTCTGAGTACTGAGCCCCTCTGATGCAGGCCCTGCCCTTCCTGAGCCCCTCTGATGCAGGCCCTGCCGGTGCCCTCTTACTCACCTCCAGCTTTTTCTCTCCACAGCAAGCAGCGACACAACAAACTGTGGCAACGGCAGCCTACAGATGGCACTGTAGCAGAGCCCAGCGAGTTCTTGCCAGAGACCCTGGATGACGCCCTGGACACCCAGCTGCAGCGTTTGCACGACACCACCGCCCAGCCCGGGCTCCCAGGAAGCCAGGCCCCCACAGGAGGACCCTCTCTCCCCTGTTGTTTCCGAAGACTCTCGGACCCCCTCCTCCCCCGCCGTGATGTCGCAGGCGGCCTGGTCCACTTGGAGGATCTTGAGCGGGATGCCCTGTTGGAGGACGCAGCTCAGCCTGTGGAGGCGCACAAGCTGGTCCAGCATCCTCAGGAAGGAGCCAGGCTCTGTGAAAGGGACATAAAGAGGAAACTAGACTTCGGGAGCCCCAAAGCCCGGGGTGGCTCCTTGCCACAGGTGGACGAGATGGAGAAGGGGGGTGGCCAGAGAGTAGGGAGGTGGAGGCGGGCCTCCACCCAGCTCGACAGAAGTTTGCTTGACCAGGAGAACCTAAATAATAACAACAGCAAGAGGAGCTGCCCCGACGACTTTGAGGTAGGCGGGGGACCATTGTGGGGAGTGGCCTGTATGCCACTTCTACCCCACCCCACAGAGCACCTTCCTGGCCACCCCTACAGGGCTGCCATTGGGTTTATTGAGGGGGGGAGGGGGCCATGAGTGCCTGACTATGTGGCGAGTGCCTAGCTAGTGGATTCACTGTAAGGGAGGCCGAAGCCTTGTGATAACCACCTCCCTCCAGCCAGTTCCGCCCGCCGAGTTCACCCCTGCATTGATGTGTAGTGTCCCTGAGTCAGCTCACTGCACCTGCCACAGCCCCTCACCTCCCTCGCCTTGGATGGCTTTGAAACAGACCCCAGAGGTGACATTTCCTTCCTAAGTGCTCCCTTACGTGACAGAGGAGCCGTACTGTCCACCTTCCAGCCCATGTTAGCGCTTAGTCCTTGTGTCCCTTGTAGCTGCCACCCCTGGGGATTGATGTGCAGGGAGCCTTGTCCAGCCTCGGGCTGCTCAGAGCGTGGCTGCTCCCACGCTGTGTCTTCCTTGTTCCAGAATCCAGCAGCAGCCTAGAATTGGGGCTGACCGTGTGGACGGATGGCCAAGGAGGCTGCCTGCTCTTGGGCTCTACCCCTCCACTCCTCGCCAAAGGCCCGAGGCCAGGAGCTTCCTGTACCTTCGCCTCTCCCTGCAATGAAGACTCTGGGGGATGAGGGGGAGGGGCTGAAGTAGAAAGTTGGTTTGTAATTGACATTCTGCTCCAGTGCTAAGGGAAAAAAAATTCAAAACAACAGCAGGAAAAAAAACAAAAACAAAAACAAAAACCTAACCACTCCAGGCGGGTCATCTGCTGGCCCCTAAGTAATGAAATATGCCCCAGATGAGAAAGAAGCATGCCTCCCCCAGTACCCGCCACTTCCCGTAGAGAAGACAGATGACCTAAAATGCCTTCGTGTGGGACAGCGCTGCTGTGGTTAGCCCCAGTCGCCTGGCTTTGAGTCACCGGATGGTGACCAGGGGAGCAGCTTAGGTAGGGGCTCAGTGGATTCAGCACCAGCACCTGCAGACAGGCAGCCGTTTGTATATCTGATCCCTTTTATTAGCTGTGGTGTGCCAGGCTGGTGTGAGGACCTGTTCTGTATCTCTCAGGCTACATGTATGGGGTAGGAGGAAGGTAGATAGAGCTTAAGTTCTGTTCTAAATTGTGTGTCAGCATGTGGGTTTGTACACAATGGGTGCCGGTGCTCCTGGGAGCCGGAGGCATTGGCTGTCCTGCAGCTGGAGTGACACTGTGGAGTCTGACGTGGGTGCTGGGGATTGAACCCAGACCCCGTGGAAGAGCACTTGCAGGCTCTCCGGCCCTGTCACCCTGACCTTCATTGCCCCTGCTTTCGTGGCCAGGAAGGGCCAGCCTGGCAGGTGGTAGAGACAGATTGAGAAAGGGAGCTCCCAGGGGACTCTGTCCCAGCCCTGTGGCTTAAGGTTCGCCCAAGACATTTTCTTGGCCTGTGGAAAGTCAAGATTGACATCCCTATCTAATCTGTGTTCTTCGTGATCCAGTCAGTGTGTTCCAAATGGTCTCTGATCATGAACAAATGAAGTGAAAGTTGCTACACACGCGCACGCACACACACACACACACACACACACACACACTCGCTCGCTCGCTCGCTCACAGAGTGCCGGCCAGCCCTACCCACCCCGCCACAGCAGCCCTCTCTGAGCTTTGGTCTTTGGCTCGGGATCACCTTTGCTCATGGCACTCGTCTCTTGCAGGGCGATGCTGTGTTTGGAATCCTCAGCAAAGTGAAGCCTTCCTACACATCCTGCGCTGACTGCATGTACCCTGCAGCTGGCGGGGCTCCTGAGGCCTTCGCGGAATGGCACGGAGACCCCAGCGTCCCTGCCATCTGCACCCAGCCAGCCTTCCTGCCCCATGGCACCTCTTCCCCAATGGCCCACACGACGAGCAGCAGCAGGTCCCGAGCTCCAGAGAGGCTGGCCTCTGGTGCAGCCAACAACCCCCCATCCCTGCTACCAGCAGGCTCAAGGAAACCAGACATCGGTGGCTCTGGAGCTGGGGCTCACCCAGAACCGCCAGCAGCAGGCCTTCTAGATCCTTCCAGAGAAACCTCAAAAGCCCCTCCAAAGTCCCTCCTGTTGAAGAATTCCCACTGTGATAAGAACGCCGCCGACACGGAAGAGGCGAGGGAAGAATCGTCGGCCAAGAGAGAGCCGAAACCGGCTAAAGACCTGAGGCTTCTGTTCAGTAATGAGGCCGAGAAGCCGGCCACCAGCAGCTACCTGATGCAGCATCAGGAATCCATCATTCAGCTGCAGAAGGCAGGCCTGGTCCGAAAGCACACCAAAGAGCTGGAGAGGTTGAAGAGCCTGCCTTCGGAACCGCTGCCTACCTGCAGGGACAGCGCCACCAGCAGGCTGGAGGCTAGCATCCCCGAGGAGGGCCAGGAGCCCGAACACTCAGCCCTGTGCAACCAAGCAGGGACAGAAGAGAAACCTCCAGAAGGAGCCTTAGTGAAGAGCCCTACCCCTACCCTCCTCCGCCTGGATCACACCAGTAACTTCTCGAAAGACTTCCTGAAGACCGTGTGCTACACCCCCACCTCCTCTTCCATGAGTTCCAACCTGACCCGGAGCTCCAGCAGCGACAGCATCCACAGCGTCCGAGGGAAGCCGGGGCTGGTGAAGCAGCGAGCCCAGGAGATCGAGACTCGGCTCCGGCTGGCGGGCCTCACCGTATCGTCCCCGCTGAAGCGTTCCCACTCCCTCGCCAAACTGGGAAGTCTCAACCTATCCACCGAGGACCTCTCCAGCGAGGCCGACGCGTCCGCGTCCACCATCGCCGACTCGCAGGATGCCAAGTGTGGTCACTCTTCCTTCCTGCATGAACCCCAGGCCACCCTGAGGGACCCCATTGCAGCCTGTAAACACTCAGGGACATTGGTCCCAGAAAACTTGAAAACCCTATCGAGGCTGAGTAAAAGCTGACCAGCGTTCTGCCGTGTGCTGGAGGTATTCGCGGTGTCTTGATTCATCTACCACCACTCACCGTGGTCATGCAGTTTCCCTACTCTTGCCGAAGAGAAGGGGGACAGAAACTCAAGTAACCCTTAGTACATGAAGGAGACCAGGACCTGGTTAGCCTGGAAACTGTCAGCCAGGAGATGGACAGCTCCGATCCCCAAGCCCTGTCTTTGGGAAGATACAGACACACAGGCTGGAGCTGTGACTCGGTTGTTAGAGTCTTGCCGGCCACGCACCACGGCCCTAGGTTCGATCCCCAGCACCGCCTAAAACCAGGCAGGCAGCACACTCCTGTAACCCCAGCACGGGAGGTGGAGGCTGGAGGATTAGAATTTCAGTCCCTCTCAGCTGCATAGTGAGTTTTAGGCCAGCCTGGTGGAGAGAAAATAAGACTGTATATACAAAATGTTTTATGTGTGACCTGTAAGAGAGGAGCTGTGGTGATGTAGTTGGTGATGTCCTTTGCTGCAGCCCACATTCCCAGCTCACTCCCGTCCTCAAGGGAGAACTCTCAGACGGCAACACAAGTCCTACCTCGTTCTCACTGTGCATTTTGTTTTTAAAATAGTAATGACCAGGGCTCGTTCTGAGGAACAATGCTGTGTCTGAAAGGGTTTTTTCCAAGGGAATCGTGGGGGATTTTTGTTTTTTTTTTTTTTTTTTTATTGAGGGTGGGGAACCCCAGAAGTGTCAAGACTTTGAACCTGCCCATCCTGAGTACAGCTAGATGAAGTCATCAGCGGGAAGCACTGAGTGACAGTCGTCTGTAACCCTCCATCCGGGTCCGTACCTGTGGTGGGGTCCTCAGCTGCTAGCTTCAAGCTTCCATCCCCCAGTCACATACAGGGAAGGACCCTGGGCATCGCTGAGCCACGCCTGCTGCTAACGAGGCATTGTTATGTTTGGGATTGGGAGGAGCTCGTGTCTATGAGGTTGTGGGTTTGGGGTATGGGTCATCCTGCTGAGAAACTCTGACCACCCCTCCCCCAGGCTCATTAGGTACCAGCTCCACGGTCCGGTCCAGTCCGTGAGAGGAAGGGCGTGTCAGCAATGGGCTACTTCCTTGTGGGTGGGTCCCCCTCCTGGAGCCACAGTTAGAGGGGTGAGTGTGCTGGAAAAGTTCCACGGCTGTCTGAATGCACATGTCCCTTCCCGCGGGGAGAATACCACTTCCTTGTCTCCAGCTATCTCTCCCATGCAGCAGTCATGAGGCAAAGCCGGTGGGCCACAACACAGGCTTAGTGAAGGTTAGCTCAGTGTGCCCTGGGCTCTGGGTTCGAATCCGGGCATCTGAAACCGAAGAATGGCAGCAGGAAGGGCCTGATTTGGGTTTGGCAGACCCCCTGTGAGATGAGCGTGGCTTCCACTCTGACTCATTTGGTTTTGGCTGTGGAGATGCTTTGTTGGGGGGTTGAGTTTCTTTTTGTTGTTGTTCCTTTTTAGTTTTTCAAGACAGTGTTTCTCTGTGTCGCCCTGGCTGTTCTGGAACTTGATCTGTAGACCAGGCTGGCCTTGAACTCAGAGATTCACCTACCTCTGCCTCCCAGGAGTACTCCTCTTGGGATTAAAGGCATGTGCCACCACTGCTTTGGGATCTCTCTCTCTCTGTCTGTCTGTCTGTCTGTCCGTCCTTTCCCCCCACCCCTTCATTTGAGACAAAGTCTTACGATGTAGCTGTCCTGGAACTCAGTTTGCTATGTAGACAGAGTAAGCCTCAAATTGAACAAGGTCCCTCTGCCTCTCAAGTTGTCCTTTCTTCTTTTTGAGGTAGAATCTCACTGTGTAGCCCAAGCTGACCTCAGACTCACAGCAATCCTCCTGCCTCGGCCTCCCAAAAGCTGAGGTTTCTGGCATAATCCCGTCATGCCCCAGGCTTGGTTTTTACATTTTTAGGGGCTTGTCAAGAGACAGGTAAAGTAGATGACATTGGCACAGGTTGGCACGGGCCTGTGACATGCATCAGGAGACAGGGGCAGGCCCATCAGGAGTTAAAGGCCAACCTGGACCACAGAGTGAGATTCTACCTCAAAAACAGTAACCCTGACAGGGATTTCTCAGCTCGGGCCTCTGCCGTCAGGCTCTCCATAGAAAGCTTGCTGACTGACAGATGCCTCGGGGCTGTGTGTGCCACTGCAGGAGGACACGGAATGTTTTGAAGGCCTGTCACAGGATGTCACAGACCAAACACGTCCTCCTGGTGCCCCAAACTGTGCCAGCCTTCCTTTTTCCCTTGTGCAGAAGGAGTCCTTGTGGAGGTGACTGCCGCTCCGTCTGGCAGGTGGCTGGTTCAGCCAGGCAGCTTAGCGAGACCACACCGTCTTTAAGGGACTGGCTGTGGCCTGGAGTTCTGCAGCTCCCCAAATGGCTGTCCTGGAGAGGGCCCAACACATCTCCAGGAACAAGGCTAGTCCTCGTTAGTGCAGGGTCTTTGTGAACCTCTGTCTCAGAGCTTTTCTCCCTGGCATGATTTAAAAACACAGACACGTGTGTCATTTTATAGGGATTTGTTTTCCCACCGGTGTCCACGGTAATCACCTTAAAAAGTGATAATCCACTACTGATTTCTGAGACCCTATGGGCTTCCTCCACTCTCCCTCAGCCAGCAAAAGCAAGCTTAAAAAAAAAAATCCAACGTTAATGGATATCACCAAGTTCAATTTCACAGGGCAGATCAATTGCTGTGTCAAAATAATCCCTTAGCTTTCGTAATGATAGGCTTCTGCCGGATCTTTAATCCCGTGTGTAAGGGTGATAGGACTTTGAAAACCACTGACCTGTCCAAAGGGCGAGGACAGGAGGTGGTAACCTCAGGTGGGCCTTTGGCTTCTGGCGAACTAATGCCTCTTTTAGATAGCAGGGCACTACTGCCCCTCGAGAGTTACCTGCTGCCCCTCGAGAGTCACCTGCTGCCCCACGCTGTCTCCCCCTCCCCAAGAGTCCCTGCCTTGATAGATTCCCTTCCGACCTGGAGGGTCGGATCTGCCTGTTAACACCATGGATTGGTATTGCATTTAAAGGGCTCTGAGAAATCAGCCTGCCAAGCCAGGCTCCCCTCACCTCAGCAGGAAAAACTGCATCGTCTTATGAAAAGTTTGCTTCAGGCGGGCGTGGTGACATGCACCTTTAATCCCAGCAGAAGTGGCTGGTCACTGAGTCCAGGGCTGCATAGACCCTGACCCCCCCCCAAAAAAAAAAATGTTTGCTTTGTGAGCTAGCTGCTCCATTCTTGCCTGGCTGATGCTTTGTGTGTGATCTTAGCAAATTAGGTCCACACAGAAGAGGCCCAAGGGGCAAACGCGGGGACTTGCGTGGCGTAAGCCACCGATTTTGATGACTGCCATTTTCACCGAACGTCTTGGCTGAATGAAGAACGTTCTCCTCAACTTGATGCCCTCCCTGGTTCCCAGCTGCCCCCCTTGTTCCCACTCGCCGGCACTTAACAGCCTCGCAGAAGCCTGAATCTTCTGGTAACCTCACCTTACCTCCACATGGAAGGCTTGCTGAACTGCCAGGAAGACGGATAGTAGATAGAAGAGGGGGGGAAGTCGGGATCCCCCATCGCGTGAGCGAAGAGCAGGGTGCCCCCTGCGTCCCTGGGACCCTTGTTCTCAGTGTGGAGACACTTCCTGTCACACACACTGTGGCTCAGCCTGCAGGTGGCTCACAAGTGCCCAGATCGCTACGCCACTCCAGCCCGCCATACTCTTGGTCCGCAGCTTGCCCTAGCAGCGGATCCAGCCCTGCTAATCTAAAGCCATTCCCTCTGCTCCAGAGGAGCCTGGAGGATGCTGCAGGATGGAGCCAAGTCTGCAAAGAATAGATAGACCTTGATGCCACCCTGTGCTTCTGTGCACCAGTCTCGGGGCCCATCCTGGAAGGCTTAGGGGTCTCCTGCTCCTCAGGAACCCTTTCTCGGCAAGAACACATTGAGAGACATCACCCATGACTCCCCAAGGGAAGGGAGTTACTTCCGAGTGGCTGGCAGGTGTTGGTGCCATGGGTTGACCGGTCACTTAGCAGGGCTCTCCGGAAGCACATACATGACCTGTGGCAAGAGAGAGCCGGGTGGGTAGACACTTGGTATCATCTGACCAGCATGGCACAAGATCACCTGACTTGATCCCCATCCCAAGCTCCTGCTGGCGGTAAAGACCAGATGAAGGTCATTGATGTCCCCTACCCAAAGCCCCTTGTTTTGTCACTGTTGAGGTGTGAGAGTCCACGCTGTATGCATACATGTACATCTGTGTGCACATACCTTGTGTATGCGTTGTGTGTGTGGTGTGTGTGCCTACCCGCTGAAACCTGGGGTCTGCCATTTCTCTCCTCACACACAGTGTCCTTTAGCTATGCAGTAAGTCACCCTAGACTCATCTTCAGTGATGCCACCTGGAGAACAGTGACCACCTCATCTTTCCCTTTCGCGGTAGATGCCACGCCCCCCCCTTCAGTCCCTGTCTGAGACAGGAGTCCTAACTGCGAGGGCCTCTGCTGCCCTGGCCATCGGCCCTGCTGCATGAGAAAGTAGCTGCTTCCTCCTCTACACTGTAATTATTGTTTTACAATTGAGTGCCTTAATGATCGTTTACAAATACTGTGTATTTATGCGCAATCGCTCAGCTCTCATCTTCTGTGGCTGGGTACTTGGTCTCGGCCTGGGGTTGAGATCAGGACTTGGGTTTCTCCCCTCCCCCTCCACTTGTGTTTATTCCGCTATACAGTTGACTTAGTGGTTGGTGACGGCCTGCCAGAAGCCGCACCGTTGAGTTCCTGCAGGCCAGGCTGGCATCAGCAAACACCACAGCCCATGGTAGCCAGTGAAGGATGTGATTTGATTTGCCAGGCGGCTGGGAAACGGTGCAGGTCCTGTACCTCACCAAACCCCTCACAGTTACCCTCGGGTTTGTAGAGGTTTGTTACCACCTAGACCCCACTCACACCCCCGTCCTCCTGCCCACTTTCTGAGCTCCTTGCAGCAAATTGTGGGTACAGCTCACCCCCCCAGAGGAGCCACACCAGACCGTGTTCAAAGGCTGCTGCTGGTTCCCATGCATCACGTTACAACTTTGATTCTTTTTATCGTTGTTTTTTTATATTATATATTTAAAAGGCAGTATCTTTTGTACTGTGAATTTTCAGTAGAAGCATAGTGCACTTTTTTTTTTTTTTACTTCTGTTGGTGTGTACTGTATATAGTCTGCGTGCTTCTTGTGATGAATAAACATTTCCTTTATAAATGTCCTGTGGGTGCCCTTATGTACTAGAGGGCTCTGGCCCTTGCCAGGACGTCCAATGCACTCTTCCCCTGCCATCGTTTCGGGCGTTCTGGTTTTTTAGACTTTTTGCTTCTTAAGTTAGACGCTCTCCTCGAAAGTTGGAGGAGAGAGAGAGACCCGGAGGACAACACTGGGCTCCTCCTTCCCAGTCCTGTCACCTGGGCTGGGACTGGGCCAGTAGAACAAGCTGGGCAGTGGCGATGCACACACCTTCGAGGTCTCTGCCCTGGGTTGTGAGCGCCTATCGCTTTTGGGGGCCCATGGCGAGGCATTGACATCATAAAGGAAAACTGCTTACTGGAAATCGGAAGAACTGCGGGGAGGGGACCAGAATGGTCCCCAGTGATCCAGGGTTCTTCCCCTAGACCTCACCTCCCTTCACTGCACGGCCTTCGGGGCACATTTAAGGTCCCAAACACAACACCCAGGGACTGAGGAAGTCAGGCTGCCCTGTCTGAAAGTGGCCTGTCCCTAGAGTGCTGTCAAGAAGGGACAAGGGGACTTCTGCTGGTCACAGTGGTGTTTGCAGCAAGGCTAGTGGTGAGGGAGACTTTTGGTCCCACCCTCCCAACCCAGTGGCTGAGCGAGGTAAAGCAGACACATGAGATTTGCCGTGTACACGGCAGACACTAAGTCCATTAGGCCCAGACGCCAGAGGACTTCCTCAGCCCATCTCCATTTGCTGTGGCTGAACCCAGACTGATGAGTAACTCGGAGTGTAAGTGTATTAACCTCACCGAGGTGAAACAGCCGGATTAACAGACCCAGATACAGTCGCATGTGAGTCAGGATTAGCTGGGAATAATTTAATGTGAAATTGAAAGGTTAGTCTGGCATGGTGATGGACCAGTAGCTTTGGCTACTTAGCAAGTCTGAAGCCAGCCTGGGCTGCACCAATCCTTGTTTCAAAAAGAAGGAAAACACAGTGTAGGTTTGGTGCTCGGCATGGAGTTCACACCTGGGAGGCAGAGGCAGAAGGTGTTCTAAGCTTCAAGCTAGCCTCACAACGACGTGAAACTCATCTCCAAAGGATAACGTCATGGCCGGTCGTAGAGTTTGGCGGTGGAAGGCCTGGCTTAACGTGTACAAGGCTCTTCATTCTACCCCCAGACTGGAGTAGAAAGTGGAAAGAAAGGATGGAGAAGCCAGTGGTACAAATCTAAGTCAAGCTGTACCAGTGCCCTCTGTAAAATGTGGACTTTTTTTAAAATTATATTTTATGTGTGGGTGTTTTGCTCACAAGTATGTCTGTGCATCACATGTGTGCCCAGTGTCCTAGGAGCTCAAACCAGGTCACTGTGACTCCTGGAGTTGAGGATAGCGCGTCACCGTGTGAGTTCTGGGAGCCTAACCCCAGCCCTGTGTAAGAGCGGCTAGCATTCTTAACTGCCAAGCCATGCACAGCTCCCTCTCAGGTAAGCTGTTTTCAACAGATGGACCCTTGGGCCAAGTGCTTTCCTGGAAACTAAGAGATAACAGCTTGGGGCCCACACCTCTCTGGGCTCACAAAGCAGTATAGAGCAGCGGTTCTCAACCTGTGGGTCGAGAGCCCTGGGGTAGGGGTGGGGGTGGTTGAACAACTCTCTCACAAGGGTCACATATCAGAGACCCTGCATATTATACGATTCATAACTAGCAAAATTAGTTATGGAGTAGCAATGAAATACTTGTATGGTTGGGAGCCACCACACAGGAGGGCTATATGAAAGGTCACAGCATTAGGGAGGTTGAGAAACACTCACTGGTCTAGGGGCAGGGGCCAGGAATGTGTATGTTTCCCATAATGCTCTAGGAATTCTGGTGGCCGTATTTAGAGACAGTGTTTCTCTGTGGCTTTGGAAGCTGCCCTAGAACTCCCTCTGTAGACCAGGCTGGCCTCAAACTCACAGAGATCCGCCTGCCTCTGCCTCCTGAGTGCTGGGATTACAGATGTGCAGCACTACCACCCGGCTTTACACTTTGCTATTACAACCACATTCTGCACATACTTTACACACACACACACCAGCATGTACCTGTGAGCTCCAGGCCCTGGGAGAGCATTCCTCAGCAGCTGGCTATCTTTACCATGATTTTATCTTCAGAGTAACCATCCCAGGGTTGGGTACAATCCAGATCACACCTGCAGTCTGAGTGATTTTGCTAAGGGAGGAGCCTGGTGTTCACTTCAGCCAAGGATGCCCTTTCGTGGCAAGAGCTTGGAAGGGGCTCCGAAAGGCTTGGGATTTCAGAAAGGGTCACACCAGTGTACGGTGCTGCTTCTGAGTGTGCTTGCGTGTCTGTGTGTTTGGTGTCCAAGGAGGCCAGAAGGGGGCGTCAGATCTCCCAGAACTGGAGTTAGAGATGGTTGTGAGCCGCCTTGTGCATGCTGGGACTAGATAGAACTCAGGTCCTCTGGAAGAGCAGCGGTGTCTCTTTAGCTGTGTGTGTGGGGGGGGGGGGGCCTTCAACCCTGCAGAAATCACCCCATACTGCTGGGCCACACAAGGTGGCTCCCACATAGTTTTTGCCTTTAAGTAGATATACGAAGTAGACATTTCAGCTTCTGCCTGAAATTCCTTTTTTGGTAAGCTGTTCCAGTAAATAAAATGTTTTATTTGTTAGCTCCAAGCCAGAGGATGACGGACCCACAGCTAACCCTGGAAGACTGAGTCTCAGGGCTGAGATGTGGGATCAGGGGTCGAGTTCCCTTCCGAGCATGTGTGAGGCCTGATTTCAGTCCTTAGCACCAGGAAGGGGGAGAGGGAGGGAGAGGGAGGGAGGGGGAGGGAGAGGGGGAAGGGAAGAAGGGAGAGAGGAGGGGAGGCTGGGAGGCAGGGAGGGAAAAGGAAAGAAGACAGTAACTTCTATGTGGTGCTTCACACCTATAATCCTAGCACAGAAGAGGTAGAGGCAGAAAGATCAGAAATTCAAGGTCACCCTTGGCTACAGAGTGAGTTCAAGGCTAGCCCGAGCTACAGGAGGTTTCCAAAGAAAAGCCTGTCTTACCTTGTCCTGGAGGTCAAGAAGCCCCTCGAGCCACCGCCCACCTTCTTGGAGATGTAGGAAAGCCAGTGGCACAGTCAAAGCCCTGAGAGCTTCTGAGCTGATGGGGAGATTTATGGTCAAGTGTCAGGGCCTGATGACTTCCCACTTCCGGGCAGGACCGACCTGACTGCCCAGAAGTGGCAGTGCACACACACCTGGGACTCTAACCTGGGAGGGGGACACAGGAAGACCAGGAACCATAACTTCAGGATAGCCCGGGCTACGTGAGACTCCATTGCAGGAACTTTTTTTTCAAGACAAGGTTTCTCTGTGTAGCTCTGTGGACCAGGGTGGCCTCAAACTCACAAAGATCCACCTGCCTCTGCCTCCCCAGATCTGGGATTAAAGGCTCTCTTTCTTTCTTTCTTTTTCCCAAGATTTTTTTTTAAGGGCATATTCTGGCAGAACATGGTGGTGGCACACGCCTTTAATCCTAGTACTCAGGAGGCAGAGGCAGGTGGATGTCTATGAATTTGAGGCCAATCAGGGCTATGTAGAGTTCCAGACCAAACAAAGGCTACATAGTTAGACTGTTTCAAAAAGAAAAGAGAGACTAAAAAGTGGTGTGTGTGGGGGGGTCTGTCTCCCTAAAGTGCAATATCAGAGCCAGGCTTTTATGCTTCTTGAAATTGGACATCAGAGTAGGCCAGGGGTAGGCATAAGCACACGCACATTCATCTGGCACTGGGGAAACTAAGGCAGAGATATCCCAAATTCAAAGCTAACCTTCTGCGCATACTAAGGCCCTGTCTCGAAAACAAAACAGCTGTGCGCACACACGCAGCGAAAACAGTGTTACCAACGGGGACAGTGATGTCTGCCGACACGGCGATTCCTAATAATGCACGCCAAACGTCTCTCCTCAGGTGCACCCTGCTGCCACCCTGCTGCCGTCACGGGCACCGACAGGAGGAGGGGAGGGCACACAGTCATCCCCCAGGGGCTCAGATCTGCAGAAGTTCAAGGGAGAGAAAGGTCAGCCTGGGCTGCATGAGACCCTGTCTCATAAAACCTCGTCCTGGAGTTACAGAAAATCACTAGGTAAGTCACATGGCTGTAATCCAGAGACTGGGAGGGCTGAGGCAGGAGAATCGTGGGTTTGGAAGCAGCTCTGGCTACACAGGGAAATCCTATTTAAAAACAAAACCATAGGATGGTGGTGGTGGTGCACACCTTTGATCCCAGCACTCGGGAGGCAGAGGCAGGTGGATCTCTGTGAGTTCGAGGTCAGCCTGGTCTACAGAGTGAGTTCCAGGACAGCCAGGGCTGCACAGAGAAACCCTGTCTCGAAAAACAAAAACAACAAGAAGTATCACCGGCCTCATGCAGTGGTGCATGACTTTAATCTCAACACTACAGAGGCAAGCAGATCTCTGTGAGTTCGAGGCCAGCCTAGTCTGAGTTCCAGGACAGTCAGGGCTGCACAGAGAAACCCTGTCTCAAAAAAAAAAAAAAAAAAAAAAAAGCATACACACATATATGGATAATGAGTACACGGTTTTGGTCTTGTATATTGTGTAAGGTTGGTCCAGGTTGTGACATAAGTCATCCTTCAAGGAGAATAATGTTCGGGATGACAATGGCTGTCCCATTCACTAAGCAGGTCCTCTGCTCCCTGCCTCCCTGCCTCCCTGGTACCTCTTTACGGGTGAAGAGGCACAAGCTCAGGGTCGCTGGAGAAGCATCCATTAGCAGGGATGTGCGCACAACCTCCTCCAGGGACCCCATCACAAGTACAGATCTGCAGAACCGCCGCCGGGTCCTGGACAGTCCTTCCCTTGGGGAGGGCAACAGGGCAGCCTGAAAGTGTGGGCTTGTCTCTGTAGCAATCCAGAAGCAGAGGTACATCCTGTTCCGTGGTTGCCATGGAATATCCGAAAACATCTGCCACAACACAAGGCTGGGGCGGCGCCTGGCAGTGGAGCTCTGGCTCAGGCAGGGCTCGGGCACCAGACTGAGCAAGCCTGCATCTGGGCAAGGGTTAGGGGAACTTCCCCCATCTCCCACACGCATGTGCGTCGCCTAACACACGCACATGCGCACACACGCACACACTCTTATCTGGGAGGCAAGACTAATGGGATATCTACCCCATGCAGGTTTCCCAAAGAATTCTCCGTTCTCTATTTTTGGGTTTGTTTTGGGACTTTTCAGTTTGCTGGCCTTTTTTTTTTTTTTTTTTTTTTTTTTTTATGCTTGCTTCCTTCGGGTTTGGCTTGGTTTTGTGTTTTGAGAGGTCTCCTGTAGCTAGGCTGGCCTAGAATTTGCTATGTGACCAAGGATGACCTTGAATTCCTGACCCTCCTTCCTCTACCTCCCCGGTGTTGGAGTTTCGGGTCCTGTGCCACTCAGCCTGGCCACCTTTGTTTTTGTCTATTACTATTATTACTAGTATTGTTGTTGTTATTTTATGTGTATGAGTGTTTTGCCTGTGTGTGTGTCTGTGTGTATCTAGAACCCTTAGAGGTCAGAAGGCAGAATTGGATCTCCTGGAGCTGAGGTTACAGACAGTCATGAGCCTCCATATGGATGCTGGGAATCAAACTCAGGGCCTCTGGAAGCATGACTTGTATGTTTAAAACTGAGCCATCTCTCCAGCCCCCGGGCAGCCTTTCTTGATTGTCTTGTTTTTGTTGTTGTTTGGGACAAAGCCTCTCCCTGTTAAAAACCCAGGCTGGCTTCAAGCCTGTAGTAATTATCCTGCCTCAGCCTTCCTAGTGTTGGCATTGCAGATACCACCACACCCAGTCCTAATGCTCTGTTTTCTTCTTGGAAACCCCGAGAGGAGATCCTGAGTGCGCAGGCTTCCTGACTTCCTGCCTAGTCCAGCTCCCAGCCAGGCCCACAGAACTTCCCTAGCCCTATCCTTCTCTCCAGATGGAACTCACTGCCCTCGTTGTCATGGTAGCTGCTGATGTTTTTCCCGAACAGCCCTTAAAATGCAGGCTTGGTGACAGACAATCGAAGCGTGCAGAGGAGGACTGGGTCTGAGCCAGCGGGACCACGCGCCCCTGTGAGCTTTATACACCTGCAGAGTAAACGGGACATCCCCAGTGTGGAGGGGCTCCTCACAACACCTGCAGAGTAAACGGGACATCCCCAGCGTGGAGGGGCTCCTCACAAACCTCTCAAACTATGTGGTTGGCCAAGTGACTTGATCCCTTGTGATGAGCTGGGGTCGCAAGTAATAATGACACGCTTCCTAAGAGAGAAACTGAGGCACTGGGGGGTCAGTATAATTGGCTATGGTTACGTGAATATGCCAAATGGGTTGTATTTGGAGGCGGGAGGAGGCAGTACTGTGGATTGAACCTAGTGCTTCCCGCAGGCTAGGGTTTTCTAAGACATGGTCTTAGTACTGATTTTTCCAGCTAGCCTTGAAACTGCAATCATCCAGCCTTAGCCTCCCCATTAGGTTGGGACTACAGGCCTGGGCCACTGAGTTATGGTCCAGAATGCCCAAGCCCCAGCCCTCTGTTGTTTTCCTAAGTACCAGAAGTCCTCCATGGCTCCCTCAAACCACACACCATCCTGAACCTCACCTGAGAAGCTACCCTCTGCTCACCAAGTCCACGCCCTGCCTGCTGGGTTCTGTGTCTCTGGGTTCGCCCCATCTATGTATCTTCTTGATAAGCCTATGAAGTGTACGCTGGATAGTTTTATATCAACTCGACACCAGCTAGAATCGTCCAAAAAGAGGAAGCCTCCATTGAGGAACATGCCTCCATACGATCCAACTGGAGGGCATTTTCTTAATTAGTGATTGATGGGGCAGGGCCCAGCCCACCCAGTGTGGGTGGGGCCATCCCTGGGCTGGTGGTCCTGGGTTCTATAAGAAAGCAGGCTGAGCAAGCCATGAGGAGCAAGCCAGTGAGCAGCACCCTCCATGGCCTCTGCATCAGCTCCTGCCTCCAGGGTCCTGCCCTGCCTGAGTTCCCATCCTGACTTCCCTTTGTGAGGAACTGTGATGTGGAAGTGTAAGCTGAATTAACCCTTCCCTTCCCGGGTTGCTTTTGGGCAACAGTAGCCCTGGCTATGACAAAGTGGCTGCCCCTCTTCTCATACTCACTCCCTACAGCCACATCTGTGATGGGGGCTTGGCTGGGACCCTTAAGTTCAGGGAGACACTTCTTTAGTCACACTGGACAATGTCAGCAGAAAAGGCATAGAAGTGACCGGTAGCCCAGCTAGGGGCAGACAGAACTACAGAGCTGCCTCCTCCAGGAAGCCATGCCTGGCAGGCCCTCCTCCAAACTCTGCCCCGAGGTGACCGGTTAATGTGGGCACCCTGTGGGCATTCCCAGGACAGCAAACTCCCTGAAGGGAGCAGCTGGGCTGGGCTTATTATGGTCTGCCGTGTGCCTGATATGTGTCCGATCAGTATCTGTTGAGTGACTAAATGAAGAGCGCTCTAATGAACAATTGTGGGAGGAGCTGATCTTTCTTGCTCATGAGAGCTTTAGGGGAGCTGGGTTAGTCTTGCTCTGCCTCTTCCTGGCTGGACATGACTTCTCTGAGAGTCTGTGGAATGCACTCTGCAGGGGAGTTGGACCTCTGTGACTGGTGCACAGTAGGTCTCAATCAGCAGCAGCATTACGGGGAGGTCTCTGGCGTTCAAAGCTGTACTCCAGTCCTGACTGCTGTTGTGTGGCCTCGGTCTCAGACTGCTCACAGGGAAGAGCCTGGATCAGTGGTTTGCGGTGGAAATTAAGGGGCGTCTGTGTAGTTAAACCCTCTATGAGCGTGTGCTTCTGTGACCCCCCCCCAGTGAACTTGAGGACAAGGATGTGGCTTTCTCTTTCTACCCTACCCCATTCTCAAGGCCGCACTCAGTGTCTCACACACTGAGCGACACAAATTGTGGAAGGCACGGAACTTCCCAATGTATTCCCGGACACCCTCCCCCACCCATAGGTTCCCTCCGTGGGTTTTTCCGACTATTTCCAGCCCACAGGGACACAGAATGGTGCCCAGTGTTGGTCTTTTGTGCTGACCTTGGTGGAGACTGAACAGGGGTTCTCCAGCAGAGTCCCTCTGGTTGGAGGTGGCACAGATATAGGAAGGACTTGAGGGACAGTAGAGACCCAGCTGCTTAGACAGGAGAGTGGGAACTGGGCCTCTCCGTAAGATCCACAGTCATGAGACTGTGGTCAGGTCTCCATCGTTCTGCGTGGTGCTTCCTGTGTGGTCGGGGATGCTGAAAACTCGGATGGCGGCGTGGAAAGGGAGAGGTGTGTGAGGCATGAGTGGGTGCCAGTCTGTGCTGTGCCTCCTCTGGTTATAGTATTGTAGTGGGTAGCTTTTATGTGTCTCGCCCTGTTCCACCGCTGCTTATAAAATAACGCTCTGAGGATTAATATTAACTGTAATTGTTTGACCAAAGGCTCAGGCATATTACTGACTAGTTCTCACAATGAAATTAACCCATTTATATTATTCTGTATCTCTCCATGAGGCTCATGGCTTGTTACCTCACATCTTGCTTCCCCTGTGGCTACATGGCATCTTCCTGGCTCCGCCTTCTTTCTCTCCTTAACTCTGTTTGGATTTCCTGCCTAGCTATAGTCTGTCTGACCATTGGCCAAAACAGCTTTATTCATCAACCAATAAAAGCAACATATACTACAGCGTACAGAAGGACATCCCACATCATAGTATGGCATCTGTCCATGCTGATGGGAGGCAGAGAGAGAGCCTGCCTCTTTATGCTTCCAGCCAGACTTTAATCATAACCCCAGCCCAACTACAGCCTAACCAGGTGTAGGATGGACCAGGCAGGGGTCTCTCTGGGCTGAGGGTGGGCTGCAGACAGGTGAGGGAACCCTTTCCTCCTTCAGGTACTTCGCTGGTTCACGCCTCCAATCCTGGAAGTGCCTCCAAAGCAGTAGCCCTGATGTCCCCCTCCAC